CAATTTACAATTATAAAAAATACTTTTTAATAAAAATAAAAAAAATTAATAAAAAATAAAATTAAACCGTCAAACCAAACACACGCTTGGATGTGGTCCACTCAAATTATGATTGCATAGGTACATCAAGTTCTGATCTTCCATTCCCTTGTTTTTCGAGATATGGTATGAGACAGCAATATTAGCATCCCATACCCATAGTTCCAGAGAAGCCACGTCTCTTGCTAGTACATCAGTAAATCTCGAAGCCACCTGGAGAGCAGGTATTGCAATCAAGACGAGGGTGTGCTTGCTTGTTACCAGCTACTCCGAAGCTTATTCTATGTCCTAGGATTACTAGTTCGAGAAAGTTGTGTTTCAAGGTGTGAGTCATGGTTTTTAAGATCTATGAAAAAGTATCCGACCATATGTTATGTTAAAGATATTTTTATATAATGTCCGTGAGATGTAATTTTTCTTTTCTAAATTTTTTTTATCAAAAAATTAATGTTATAACACCATCAAAATTTTATTTCATGTTTTAAAATATGAACTAGCTTGTGACATCGATTCAACACTCTGATTACTTTAAATTAAATAAATAATTTTTTTTTTAATTGACCTGGTTAACAAGTAGATGGTTTTTATCCAATCAAAACTCAACCATGAATTTATTGGTTTTTTTAAAATATTAGAATTCATTAAATTGAGTTTTAAAACAATATTTTAGAATTTCAAAATGTTTTTTTTAACAATTTTCTTGGTTTTTTTAAGAAAACTCAATTAAAAAAAAAACTAAAAAGGAGAAAAACAATATCAAAAACCATTGATGAAGGCCACCCAATGTGACAAGTATCGGCAGCCAATAGGCATGGGAGGGTGGGGAGGGCAAGAGATGTCGGCAATAGTTGTCGATGGAGATCACACAAGGCACACAGCTGCATCGAAATAATGGTGCTCATAAGTTAGACATGTACGATGTTAATGGCTGGTCTCCTTCTCACGTAGCAGGTGTCAAGGAGAAATAGCCTTCTGTCTCCATGTTGACGGGGCACGACTCACTAGTACATTGCAATAATTTGATCATGGACTCATGAATAGTATGGTATGTTGCTACATACCCATCTTTTCTTGTTCTCCATTGTCGCTCAAAAGTAAATATTTCTTATTAGTAAAAGAAAAGGATGAAGAGGTTGGATAATTTAAAAGATTCATGAAATTATTTTAATACCTAATTATGATCAAGCATTTTTTTATAATTTAATTTATTTTTATATATTTTATGAGTTGAACGTGAATATATATCAACTTATCAAATAACATTTTTCACTTCTACTATGATTTTCTTGGTATCATAAATCATCATATTTTACTTTAAATAGCACTCTTTGTTTTTTAATAGTTAATTTTATATTGTTCATCTCACCACTTTAAAATATTTTATTTGTAATTATTTTTATTAGCAATCAAATATTTTATTTAGTATAGTTTTTTCAATATCACATCAATTTGTGATAATAAAAAATTTCAAAATCATGTGAATGATAAAAAATCTAAAAAATAAAAAAATAAAGGATTAAAATGACATAACACAAAAATATAATTCAAATATCCCATTAAAATAAAGACAAAAAAATAATTTAATTGTACAAGAGATAAGATAAGATGATAAAAAAAATCATTTATAAAAATAAAAAGGAAGAGAGAGATTTTTTAAAGAAGGAAATGGGAAATTGCTAATGAACTATGATAACAAAAAAAAGAATAGACACTTGAAAAAAGCCAAGATAAAATGACCCTACTTCATATTCTTTGCATGTTCAACCTTACAGACTTCATCACATGATAGTAATAATATCATAACATTTAAGACCCAGCTAGTTCTTCATTATAAAATTATAAAATTTAGTTTAATATAACCCGATCAAAAACTTGAATTAAAAATTAAATAGCTTATCCTGAATCAATCAAAATACAACCATTCCAATTTTTTTTATAGCAAACTTCTTATATTAAAATCATTGAAAACATTTGATTTTTAAATGTATTATGAAAACCATTTGACCAAAAAAAAAAAAAATTCAATCCACCATACCAAACAACTTCTAAAAATCTAAATGATAAACTTATTCATTTAACTCGAAATCATGTTTATGTCAAAAAAAGAAAGAAAGAAAGAGTGCTGATGCAATGAATATAATGCAAACGCATCCTCTCAATGGCATAGAATGCTCTTTCTTGTTGGATTACGTTTCAAGTAGTAGGATTAGTCGATGATAATCTTCAAGTCAAACTGGCCAAAATTAGAAGCAAACGGATATCCGACCAAGTTTCTCTGAACACCCAGTTGATGGGATTCTCAATCTCATAGTCCAAGTCCTTAGAACATGGCGAATGTATATTCAGTAATTCTTAGGTCAACATTTAGCCTCCATAAATGGACTCTAAGAACATGAAAAGAGTTTTGCTTGTAAAGCTACGTCACTGTAAGAATATATGGCTGTCCTAACACATTGCAAATTTGCAATTCACTCAAGAAAGTCATGTTCGGATCATGTGAAAATTGATATGTATTGATGCAAGTCGCTGGCCTACTTTTTGCTAGTGAAAATTGCTCGTAATCTCTTTACGGATATATATATATATATCCGTAAAGAGATTACGAGCAATTTTCACTAGCAAAAAGCTATCTAAAAGTTTTCAAGCCTGGCAAACACCATTTTCCAATATTCATAGTCATAAATTTTTTGGAATTTTCCTAACTTCTGTATGCAGATAGTTAGGTCTCAGTTTTTTTTTAAAAAAAGAGCTACAAAATGTTAGGAGATAGAAGAGAAACCAAACCAGGAAGAAACGCAAAGGGAAAGATGGGAAATCAAATTTCTTTAATCTGCCTTTAAAAAAGCGAGAGAAATGAAGTTTTATTTGTTTAGATACATTGATGGGAAATAAAGCGAAGTAGTTTTTAGAATACACAACTACATTGATAAATTTTTTTAATATTTTCTGAGCCCTCGCCTTTCCTTCCTCCGAGTGGATAATTTTTGCTGCGTATAAAAAAAATCAGATTTATTTTTTTCCCTTTATTCCCTTCCTTTCCTTAAATTTTTACTCGTAATTTTAGCATTTAAACAGAGGATTTTCTTTTACATTTCCCTTGTTTTCATTCATTTTCTTCTAAACATACAAAACTCAAATCATGAAAACTATCCTTTGTTCTAGTTTTTTTTTTTTTTTTCATTTTGTTTTTGTAAGGAAAGGCTTTGCCCATCATGAAAACTAGAGATCCAAACTTGTTAGATCAAAAGCCCATAAATGCTTGTTCTTGAAAAGATCATGGTAAACTGACTCTTCAAGACACCAACTCACCAAGAGTGTCTTGAAAAGATCATGGTAAACTGACTCTCCAAAAATACAATACCCAGAAAGGATCTGATCCTTCCATGAAAATAAATTAACAATCTCTCGCTCTGTGAATCAAGACACCAACTCACCAAGAGCGACAATTGGTGAGGCTTTCAATGCCAAACGTAGTGAGAATTCATGACGTGTTACCTGCAAGTGTTTGAGAGTACTGTCGCTTTTTATGTTTCAATTTTATAATTTTGATATACTTATATTAAAAATAAAAAACAATTATTTTGATTTCTTTTTGTTAGATTTATAGTTTTTATTTGATTTGATTTTAATTAAATAAGTTGGTATAGCCACTATTCATACAATCTTGTGTATTATTTCTCAATAAGATCTTTAGGAATTATTGAGTTTCATAATATATTAGCGTTTACTTAATTAAAACTTGAGAAACATAATTCTACCTTTTTACCACGCTGCGTCAGAAACTCTAGGTCTATCTTTTCTCTGGGAAGCCATGCCCTGGCCGCCTGACATGTAAAGTTCGATATAGAAACTTTCTCAAAACCTCAGAATCTTTACTAATCATTCATTCAACCACCATTATAGATAAGAAATCCAGGTCCAAAATCCTATCAAATCTACCATCATCTGACTATTGATAGCCCCATTGTTTCAGACTCCAGGCGGCGCAGCAGCTGCCAACTGCATGCAGTCTCATGGACATTGAGTGGAATGGAAGAAAGAAACATGGAAAAAGCCGGATTCTTGGGTGAAAAGAAGCCGAAGGAACTACATAAATGAATGCTTCGATCTTTGGCCGTGAATCTATTATGGTGCAGTGACGCTGTCGCTATCATTTTCATTAATTCTTTCGAGTGTCGTTCCGTTCAAAGATACTGGCTGACTGATTGTCTGATACTCAATGCCTTGGAAACTGCAGGTAGATTGTAAGAATTTTAGTTCTTTTTTATTTTTTCAGTTTTCAGGTTCGTCGGATAAATTTATTCGTTTCGTACCAACACCAGATGCAAGGTACTAATAACCTATTTGTTAACGAAGTTATGTTTGCGTTTTATTTAAAATATAAATATAATTTATTTAATAAATAAAAAATATATTTTAATGTGTATAAATCCCATATTTGTTTTTGCATCTAACACGCAGGAAAACAAATAACATTTTACTGCTGTGTATATATTATTTCCGCTAATTTTAATTAATATAAATAGTATAGAATACATTGTTAAGTAATAATTACAAAAAATTTATATTATTCACTTGAAAAATAATAAACAGTGCAATTTATATTTATTGTTTATATTTTTTTAGAGTATTAATTTTATTAATTTTTCTAAAATAATTTAAAGTAAATTAAATTCATTCGTATTGTGATGTGAACAATATTTTTTTTCTTAAAAATTAATATATAGTGAATTAAATTCACTCGCACTATAATATCAATTTTATACCTGATCGTATTTTATTTAATTTTATTACACGCTTAAAATATTATGAAAATTATAATTCTTATCGGATAAATTTTATATGTAATGGAATTATAAATAGTTTAATAGAATAATAAAAAAATATTTTATATAAAGTATTATTTATTTCATGATGTAAAAGGAGTAATTAATTCTACAATACTTAAATTTAAAACCATCAATATTAATATATATTTTTTAAAATTATTCTATAACTTTAATTTCAAAAGTATTTTTAATCAAATACGTTAAACTACTTTTTCTTTAGCCTCAATTTCAATCACATTTTGATAATCAAATACGTTAAACTACTTTTTCTTCAGCCTCAATTTCAATCACATTTTGAACCAAATACCTATTTTTTCAAATCAATTTCAGTTAAAAATACTTTTTATAAAATATTTTTTTTCAAACCACAACCATAACAGCTACCGCAATACCAAACACACTCTAAACCTTCGTATTAATTTGATTTATTCTAGGCTATCTAAATAATTTTATTTTTTTTATAAATTTTTTAGATTTAATTCCCATTATATTTTTAATTGTTGCTATTATTTCTAAACATTCTTTTACTTAATTATCTTTTCAATTACATCATTCAAATTCTCTTAATTGATTTTTTTAATTATATTTTTATTTTTTTATATTAAACTTAATCTTTATTTTTTAACTATTAATTGTTTTATTTTTAATCTATTTTTAGTGAGACTTTTTTTAAAAAAAATTATTTCCTTATATTTAATTAATTAAATTTTTGCAAGATTTCACCATGTTGATTTGCCAACTAATTATCTTTACGTGTAAAACTAGCTTTGGTTCAGGTAATATTTTTATTTATTTTATTCATTGTTTTTATTGTGTAATTTTTTTATTATATTATCAAATTAATTAAGATTTAATATAATTATTAAATTTTTTATTTTTTAAAAAATATTTTTTAATTTTTGTTTTTATTTAAAAATAATTTTTGTCAAACTAGCAGCATTATGCGAGCCATCAATCTAAGTAACCAATAAAGAGGTATATTCGGCAAAGCGCTGGATTTTTCTTTCTTTCTTTACAGAAATTGGGCTGCAGCATCCACAACTGTTTCATAGTTTGTAAAACATGGGCATGGAGTTATTCATAAGAAAAGACACGGGCTTTAATACACACAGATTTCATTCTCTAATGGACATTTCCATGGATTCAAGATAGGGCAAAAGGAACAACATATTGGCTTTGCAACACAAGAAAGAATACAAAAATACAGGGAAAAAGAAATATGTTGCAGATGGAAAAATTCCAAAGGCACAAAAGACCATTATCAAGTAGAGCCTGACTCGGCGAATGTCAAGCATTTATCTCAGCATTTATTGCAGTTTTGAGTCGCCAGGTAAATGCTTGCAATGCTAGAAGGACTTCCTTCTATTGGGAATTCAACCGGTGATGTACTGCTACTTGTTCATAGAAGACCAAGCACACTGACACAATATTTAACGTGGTTCGGTAAAACCACCTACATCCATGGAAGAGAGTCTATATTATTAAAGATTAGAGAAAGAATACAAAACAAATACATGAAAGAGAATGATAACTTCACTCTACTCTACTCCTAACCCTCTATTTGCTGCACTTGCAGCTGCTGCCATTTCAGC